TCGTATTGGAAATTAGAATTTAAAAAACCTGGAAGACATCTGTGCACAACATCCAAAACCTGGAATGATCTGTTTGCTAGTTTTGCTGATAAAGGAAGCTAGTAAAAAAACCAACAAAAATGGGGAAATAAACCCCCCAAACAGCTAAAATAATGAAAAATGTGGAAGATTACTTACTGTAATAATCATTTAATATCAGTAAGTAAACAAATCAGTGGGTTTACTTAAATTTTGCCTTCAGAATTCATGTGGAAAGGAAACATTTCTCTGTTGTGCTTAAATTCTTACCTCTTCTTTTTACTGTTAGTGAGAAACACATTTTTGAAAATGCTTGAGCAGGGTGATGTCAGACAAGATGATACTGGAGGTATAGAGAAGTGGCTTCAAGATTCAGAACTGTCATTTCTGAACATGTAAAATCTGCTGTAGTCAACGAGATTTCCATGGAGTCCCAGGATAAGAATTCATGTAGAGGACCTGGGTGACATCATAAATACAGAATAAGATAACGGGCAATTAGAAGTTAGCGGTGCAAGACAACTTTTATCGGCAGAGCAGAATCCACACAGAGTAATTTGACTGGTGGAGAATGTAATGTTTTGCATAGTGTTACTCATGGCTTAGGTTAGATATTGGTGAATTAGATACTACCATGAGGAAAATTCAGTATGGAGATTTTATCAAACAATTAGAAGTGGATGTGCATATAGTAATTTCTGATCATTTAATTGTAGTTCCAGCTGATACATGTACAAGCGCACAATTAGAATAAGTTGCTTGAAGAGATGCCAAACCTCAATTTGACTTGTTTTTTCTTTCTGAATTCAGTACCAGATTTTGCTGCGTGGGTGTTGGTATGAAGTATTTGGAGGAGATCCAGACAACTTCCCCACTGAGCTGGATGGCAGAAACCAAGATGCCCTCACCCAGCCACTTCTAGCTGAGGAGAGTTTAATGGTTCATCGGTCACCTTCGTACAATGCCCTTGAGGATGAATCACACTTAAATTCACCACCTCAGTATCCTCGTCTGTATCTTCCTGGAAAGATTATCCATATTGTAGAGGAATCCAGCTCTAGGAGGTAAGTAGAATAACAAATGCCATTGTCCTGTTTTCCTAAAAGCTACTTGAAGCTCCTTCTCGCTTTTGAAGTACGTGTTTCCAGCTCTGTGTCTCATCTGTACCTCCAGTGCCATCTTTGGCTATGAAACATGCACCAGCCTTTCAGGTTTTATTCTGTGCTTCTTTCTGTTTCACGGCAAGCCCTGGAAGCTGTCATTCTTTATGCCTGGATTCCTCATTCTGCCCATATATTGCATGGTTTAAACCAGTTCAGTTTAGCCTTGGCATGCTCTGGTTCCTACCTGAGACTGCAGATGTGGCAGTTGTATGTGCTGGTAATAGTGAAGTTATAACAAAGTACCTGGTTATTGAGTAGTCACATGAATGTCAGTGATGAGAAAGAGGCAAAATATTGCCTGTGACACCAGCCCAGCCGAACTGGAGAGGTCCAGCTGGCCCAGTAACCGTGTGCCCATGCAGCCACTGGTTTCCTGTCCTTTGATGCTCTTTTGTGGATACAGGAACATGAGACACAGACAACAGAAAAGCTGAAACTGCTGGAAGGGTGAGGATTGTGGTTTTGTTGGGGCAGTGTTGTATTTAGGGGTGTTTTTTTGTTTGTGCTTTGATGATGTTGCTTTTTTTAGTCAAAACAGCCTGAAACAACCCACAAGCTAGACAGTACTTCATACCCTCTTCCATCCGAAACAGAAATAAGAGCATCTGTAACTTAACTTGCACAAGACCATTTTACAGAAGAAAAAAGTGTGCCTTGTTAGAAGAGGGAGGAAAGGGGCTAGAGGTCGACTTTCTCCCTTCCATTCACTAGAGCAGTATTTTATTTAAGCTTCATGTGTTAATGTTTTCCCATTTGTAAGTTAGATACTTTAACATCTTTGACTTGGCAGGTTTTATCAATGGCTGCTCTTCTACTTGCCTTTGAGTTCATTTCTTTTCTTTCGTTCGTGCCACAGCAATTAGCATGGGTTGGGGGTTTTTTCTTAATTGGCCTAGCTCACAAGAGCCCCCATCATCTTGTACCATTCTATAAAATAAAATCCTAAATGCATTGTATGTGCAGCATTAAGTCTAGTGTCCAGGCTCCTGCCGCTGTGACTTATGCCCTAGGCCTGGCATTAACGGTGTGAATGTGCAGTGCTTAACCCCCCAGCCCCCTTGGCTCACTGCTGCATTCCCTCTTGCTTTGAGCAGGATTATTTGCTCGCTGCTTTCACTGTCAAGGCGTGGGGCAGTGGGTGCAGTTCTGCCTCCAGTGAGCTGCACAGCAGCAGTTCCAGCTGCTGGCTGAGGGTCAGGACTGTAGCAGCTTCCCACTGGGAGAAGGTTCCAGTTCCTCCCTGAGTGAGGGCGGAAACCTCGGTGTTGTCTTTTCCAGGATTGGCACTGAGCACCAGTTGTGAGTTGTTGTATTTGGGGTGTCATTTGTGGTTGGTTTTTTTGTTGTGTTTTTTTTTAGGTTGTGCTCGTCAGATATTAAATATACAGCAAGATGGTCAAATGAAACAGTCTTCAGCAGCATTTTAATAAGTCCCAAGATGGTAACAGACCACATGCCAGATGTCGTGCTCAAAGCTCTGAACAGTTTGTCTCAGGAACACAGATCATGTATTTCTTGTCAAGCACGAGAATGTAACACCAACGTAGTGTAACTGTCGCTCAAAGACGAGGCGTGGGGGGTTTTTAATCACAGGTTTTAAGTATTCAGGACACATCCCACTTTTGAACCAAAGGGGATTTCAGTACTTTTCTCACGTCGCATAAAAGAAACAAGGGTCTTATAAGGACCTTGCCTCTGCAGTGACCTCAAGTAACAGTATGCTGGTTCAAACACAGATTCAGCATTTATGCTGAAGGTTGAGCTTTTACAAAATGGAACATATGAAAAGGTCTAGCTCAGGCTGTGTATGCTGGCACGAGAGCTGCAGCATCAACTGAATACTTGACCAGTGTGAGTGCGTGCACGAGGACAGCTCAGCCTATGCATTAGAGTGGCGCCCTTTTAAAAAAAATATATATTAAAATACAGTTGTGCTTCAAAGTCACATCGTGCTGACGTTTGCAAAGCCTGGAGGGCCCTGCGCAAGAGGAGCGCCAGGAGAGCCACGCTGCAGCGCGGGGGAGGCTGCGCTGGCGCAGCGGCCAGAGGTGGGTAAGTGAGCAAGACTCGGCAGGCGGGAATGTCAGGCGCTGCCTGCGCCAACTGTCGGCAGGCAGGGCTGGCGGATTTTGCACTATTTTTCTTACAGATTGTGGTAGTACCCCGGGGGCAGGGGGGGAATATCGCGGTTAAATGCTGCTTGGATATACATGTGCAATATTCTTTAATCTACCTGTCTTTTGTAGTTGTTGATCCCCATGACTACTTATTGATTTTAAACTAAAGTGATACTATAATTAGCATGAAAAGAAAAAAAAATTGCTCATAACCTAGTAGCGTCATCTTCATCACTAGCTCTAGTTCAACTGAGAGCACTGATAAAATTCTGCCAAAAAAAAAAATTTAAAAAAAATGCATAACCAGTTGTACTTACCTTAAAAAAGTGTTTCCTAGTTTCTAGTGTGCAACTATTTTAATTTTTTTTTTTTTAAGCCTCAGCAGCATTTCTTATTTAAAAACAAAACATAAGTAAAAGTACTACTGTGTGGTTGAGAATAACTGTGTGGATGTTCTTGATGTGCTACTTAATATGGAAACAAAATAAAATGCACTCTAAACACCTGTCTCGTTATGTTCAGGCCCGCTGGGTGTGAGCTGGCAGGCACTAGCTTAGAGGAGCCAGGTGCCACGCTGGGAGGTAAGTCAGCACCTGGCGGTGAAGGTCTGGCCCCTGCTTCCCACAGAGGTGGCAGCATCACGGCCTTTAGGGTGCTGCAGCATCACCCACTGCCCCCTGGGGTGAGACTTGACCCTGTGGAGAGGGTAAGCAGCTGAACAGGTGGGTTTTTTCCCCCTGTGTGTCAGCAGCTTTAAATCATCCTAGAAGCAGTAGGAGCTAGTAACAAATGATAATGCAAGTTATCATTTATTGCCAAGTACCATCTTTAATTCTGGTTTTTAACATCAGGGCACACCCCCACAAGGAGACAAGTAGCCTGAGCTGCTGTTGGTAGCGGAGGAACACCAAGGTGGAGTGGTACAAGAACACTTGCTCAGAAATTCAAGCATTACCACACATGTGATTCAAGGATTTATTAAGTCATACATGCAAAACATACTGCTAATTGCATTAGCAAAAGATCAATGTAGAAACTTCACAATTTTGCAACTTTTAAGTTTTGCTTTAGTGGTTGAAAGGGTGTAGTTCAACATTGTATTCCTGCCAGTTTAGAATGTACAGAACATCAGCACTAATTACAGAACCTCACAGACCCAAATTACCATTACTCCATCTATGCTGCACATGTACATGTAGTGACACCAAGAACACGTGTCCGCATTAGTAATGTTACAGTGGTGGGGACAGCCAACAAATTTGAGAAGGTTTTTAGAGGTTTAAAATATATATTTTAAAAAAAAAAAATACTAAAATGTGTAAAGCTGTTTCACATGATTTTTACACCTAGTTAATAGACTAAAAAGCTCCTCAGAAAGCAGATAACTTACTGGGTCAGAAATAACAGAAAAATAAGGAGGATATGCTTTAACATTCTACTCTACCAAAAAAAAAAAAATTTTATCATGTGAAAGGTTTTAAAATACAAGTTATATTGCTCAGTAAGAAGAGAGTCTACAAGAAAAGCATTTACTACACAACAGTTGTGGGAATGACTGGTTCAGAATTGTACCTAATGAATGCCCTACTCGAAATTCCAAGGAATTTATCCATGAACACCAACCTCTCCTCCACTGCTGCACCTCTGGGAAAATGGTCCCTGATTTTAACCTGCGCTAAAAGTCAATTCAGTTTTAACTACCCTGGCAGTGTAGTGTAAAGCATCTGTACAGTGTAAAAATACTGTCTGGCACTACCATTTGATCCAACCCACTGTTTCTTTTATCCCTAACAATACAATGCTGTCAAAAGGACTAGATAGATACACTTCAGTAAGAATAGTTTTTTATTTTTATTATTTTTTTTTTTAATCACAGCAGCAAGAACTAGATTGCAACCAAGCCCTTACCAATGATAAAGCATTTTACACTGTGACTCACGGGTGTCAGTCAGTCATTGTCAAAAAGATTCCGGTTCGCTACACGACACTATTCAATGACTGTGGGTTGAGAAAACATTTAATAATAAAGCACATTAGAGTGCAGTGTTCTGCTAATTATACGGTACTGTTACTGTGAAAAACTAGAAAGTGTTTTGCATTTCCTACCAGAAATTAGAGTCATCTTCAAGAAGAATCTTTAAAAAACAGTTTAGTGCTTAGTGTTCATAGCACAACGATGCAACTTAGTTCAGCTGATAGTTTGGCAACACTTAATTGAGCAAGAATAGGATTTTAAAAATAAGGCTTTCCATAGGTTTGTCTTTTTAGGAGTTTGCTTTTAGAAGATCGCAAGGTAACTTTCATACTTCAAACAAATGAAACCGTGAAATTGTTGATTGGTTCAAGAACTTATGGAAGAGGACTAATTTATAACAGAAAACTTGGCATTGAGTGTGAATGCTCCATTGTTCTGAGCAAAGCACAGGGGTTGGATGGGGTGGGGGAGGGGAGCGTTTACAGCAGCAGACATTTTCTCTTCCTCTTCTTTACAGGCGGGGGGCACAGAACTGCTCGGATAGCTTCGTCAAACACTGTCTTGAGGCCTCGCTGTGTAAGTGCTGAGCATTCTAGGTATTTCACTGCACCTGTGGAAAGCAGAAAAAGCAATTACAACCCCGTCTCCCACAGCAGCAGCAGTGCTGCTGTAATTAACTCCATGACAAAAGCCAGACATTTATTTCATTAAGGTACATCTTCCACAAAATTTGTATCAAGCCAACATTGACCCTGTTGCCACCATACCGATCTCTTTTGCCATAGCAAGGCCCTGTGGGTAGGTGATAGGAGTCAGCTTCTTCTCCTTCAGTTTTTCAATTGTGTCCTTGTCATCCCGGAGATCAAGTTTGGTGCCCACTAAGATGATGGGGGTGTTGGGGCAATGGTGCCGCACCTCGGGATACCACTGCAAAAAAACCCAAACGGCAGAGGTTGTGTGCGGGGCCAGGTTTCCACAAAGCCTCTTGAACGTTACGGCTGAAATGCTCCCAGTCCGACACGACATATTCAAGAGTCAGAGAGTAAAGGGGAGAATGTGAGACCCCATTAAGGCAGTATTAGGAAAGAGTAGTCAACTGCAAAACAGCGTTAGTGAAGCCATTGGATATTTCCATGTAATCAAATCATTTGCCCTGTTAAAGGGCTGTATTTTTTCCACACACCAGAAACCCCCGGATTGGTACTTCCCCTATCTGTGAGGGCCACCTCTCATTTGTGGTCTTCCACAATGCTCAGTTGTCCAAGGCTGTGAAAGACCACAACAGGAGAAGAGCACATGCTGTAATATTTTTTATTTAATTTGTATTAGAAGAAAAGTTTCTGTTTGTGATCTTAGCACCTTATTGGCTGAAAACTCACACTACTGTTATCCCACCAATGCATCAAGGAACAATGCATGTTTCACATGCCCTGAACTTCCACAACCCCTAAATTTGGTAAATGGATTTCTGCCTTTTCAAACTGCATTTCACATTGCCTGCCAAAAAAAAAACCCCACACAATAAAACATTTAAAACCCCTGTTACCTAGTATTTTCCAGACACTGCTGAGACCAGCTTTTACTTACCTTAGCACGGACATTTTCAAAGGAGGCGGGACTCACAAGGGAAAAGCAGATTAAGAAAACATCCTACAAAACACAACAGTAGACGTTAGTCCAGCAGAGCAACCATTACAAAATCTCACTCCCCTGAGCAGGCCAGTAGCACCAGCGCCTGGATCACGCTGTCACCTATCCCGCACTTGGAAAAGGCGAGGCTGACGACACAGCTGCACATGGCGAGGAGAGGGAGCTTTCCCGGTGGGAAATTCATTGCCAGGCAGCTACAAGCAAACACTAAGGGCAGGGGGGAACTAACAATCAGTTGTAGTCACGTCTGTAATCAGCTGCTGCAGCAGCCAGCAACCAAAACTCTACCAGCATTGCACTGCAAGCTTCTTCTTCCCCCAAATGTCACTTCTCCCTCCCTGACTCAAGGTGGGGGAGGGGAAATCACCACAAAGCACACATTTCAGAACCGTGACAAACACCGGAAGCAATGAAGAGTCCCAGACTGGCTTCTAAACTGAGGCTGGATGCTCTCTGCGGATTTCTAAGTGATTTCAGCTTCAAAAGGCACGTAACTCAGAATATACTATTAATGCGCTGCTCTGAAGTAGCCTTAAATTGCAAAATATACAGTATGTAATAAAAAATAATGTATAGTAATTTCTACAATTATTACTTCCATGTCCAAATCAAGAATTTTGTAGAACTGTCACTTCTGAATGTCAGTATAAGGATATTTCAGAATTTCTCTATAACCAAATTAGGACTGAGAAGGGTATTAAAATCCTCAAAGCTCCCTCCTTCCCTTTCTAAATAATGAGACGAGAGAGAAGTGAGTGTTCTTAGGGATCTTAGTCATCTTGCTTTTCAACTGAAGGCAAAAGAACGAAGAGCAGACGAGAACATTTTAGAGCACACGTTACACCAAGGGCTGTACAGTCTGCACTTCAAAAAACAACGACCTTCATACGTGACACGCTGCAGTCTACAAGCACTGGGAATAACCACAAGATTTTCTCTAAGCTGAGGACTGTAATCTTGCTGTGTGACCTAAAACTCAATAAGCATCTCTCAAGCAAGCCCAAGTTTCCCCAACCTACCTCTGCATCTGTACTTGTTCCACTATCAAAGGTGTTAAAGAATCAGGCATTTCAGAGGGTTAGTCGATTGTGCTGCGTTTCAAGGCATTTTGTTAGGTCAGCATCTGACACCTGCGCTGCTAAGCACTCGCAACCCCGTTGTGCATGCATCACCCCAACAAGTTTCTGTAGCAGCGTCCCAGAAGAAGAAAGAAACAACATCAAATAATGTGATACTATGGCCACTACTTCTGTTTTCCAATTCTGCAGGTTTCTGGTGACTGAAGTTCTGCATGTTATGCAGACTCTCTCCTTTACTAGCTCCAGAGATCAAAAAATAAAAAATAAAAACCAGTGTAACCACAAGGAATTATTTGAAGATTTCAGGTGTCTTACACACTAACAATAGAAGGAAAAGCTTTATTTGCAAGAATGTTTGTTCTTAGCAACTCATATAAAGAGATCTGGTAACAGTTCTCAGATCTCGCAAGTCAATAGTTCCAAGAAAAGTAGCTGTTTAAAAAATAGGGGCCAATTTATCACTATCATAAGCAAGACAGGATGACAGAACTTGGAACTGAAGTTTATTTAAAATTTTACATACGGCAATGGGTTGATCTGTCAGACTGGAAGATATATTCTTACCATTGGTTCCTCCAACCTAATAACAGTAGGAGATAAAGTTACTCCTAAAACAAATTTAAGGAAAAACGTTCTCTCAGTCAGCGATCTGTGCTCACAAACGTTCACAATGTGGCTTTAATGAAGAGAGACACTGCCCTGAAATTCAGCACAACCAACTACCTGCATCCAGAACAGACCAGACTTGCCCATAGACCTGTAAATGTCTGTCTTGCGTTGTCAGAAGAAACTTGCATGAGCAAACCTCTCTGGAAAAGCATCCTCCTAACTTCATTTTGGTTTCGGTTTTGTCTCCTGAGGAAGCAAAGTTAACCACTTTTTTTGTCCCAACTTCTTCCTTCCGCAAATGTTTTTGAATCACTGGCAGATCTCAAATACATTCAGAAGAGGGTATTAAATTCCTGTATATTGGGGCAGGGGGGAGGAAAACACGATTAAAAAAATGCTTCCACTACGGCAAAGTCCTTACTGTGAAGCTCACAGCTGCTGAACTGCTGGGGGGCCAATGCAGACACGTTTCCCGGTCAAGTCATCAGCAATAGCCACTGTCACCTTGTCCAGAATATAGCTCAGGTTCACGTACAGGGAAACAGGGCCACAGGAACAGGTGCGGGGTGAGCTTTAGGTTGCACACTGAAGGAAGGGGGGATGAATGCGGATTGTAAAGTAAAAAGTCAGGCTTCATCAGCTCCACTGTTCTCTTCCTCTGTGCATAATTATTTGTTCATTTTGTGGTTTTGTCCCCTAAGTGATGGTGAAGCTTACAGATTGCACAAGTCTAAAATCTGAAGACTACTTCGTAGGAAATTCAAGACTTAGCACCCTGTTTGATTTTCTGCTATAAAAACAATCAAAATATCTGAAAGCACTTCAAACCTTTATTGAAGTTATACATGCTTGTACAGAAGCATGCTGAGATGGAATTCTTTTGTAGGCTATCAGAAAGCCCTGGTTATTTTAGCAAGGTGAAGACAACGCACGTGCATTCGGTCCCTTTGTCATGGGGGAGGAACAATATTCTCAACCTTACAACTCTGCTTTCTCATACCATTGAGTGAATTTTCAACATCTCTTTTTCTACCCTGAGATTTTATTTTTTTTTTACAATGTTAAGCAAAGCTTAAGTTCTAAGTATCCTATGAACACCTACGTATTAGAGAAAAACACCTTTCCATTGCCTCTCTTCCTAGGAAAGGCAGGTATTTCTGGCATTTCTACTAGAGTTGCCTACATCTAGCAAGTTCAGATCCATCTTGAGTATTCTAAGTGATGGGAAAGCCTAACTGTAAGAGCTAGTGAGCAGTGAATTAAGGAAAATTGTGAATTAAGACAGTTTACTGGAGGGGGAAAAAAAAAAAAAAAGGAAGCACCAGAGCTCATTAAGTAAGATTCACACTATGCAAGAGAGCAGTTATGTTGTTACTCAAATAACTTTGCATTTTAAGTTATCAGCACTGAATATATACTGGACAGTTAATAGTAATCAACGCAAAAAAAGAAACCCTGCAAACTACCACCTTTCTTTACTTATGGCACAGCTGCAACAGATAAAGTAACTGCTGTAGAGAGAGCAGAAAACTAGCCTCTACAAAGATGAACTGCAGCTGAAGCTGCACAGGGAATTCAATTACTGCAGCGTTTCCTTACACAAGGCAAGAGGCAGACAGGACTTAACCAGTTGCAAGCTTGGCAGACAGAAGCACATTTGTATTGATGTTATGGCACAACCTACAATAAGTAATAAAATAGCCACAGCCTTAAGTACATTCAAAAGCTCCGATGCAGCCTCTGTCAATACCAATAATATCTTCATTCAGTGCTGCCTCTTTCACATTTACACCATCTTCACAGAAACTAAACAGTATCAAGTGCTTAGCAGTGACAGTGTCAGGTTGCAGCCAAACATCACGCCTGAAAACGAAAACAAACCCTGCTTTTGGCAGGCATGCTCACCTTAAAATCAATGGACTAGCTGATGGGACTATTCAACGAGGGGTTTTTTGGTTTTGTTTTGGGTTTTGGGGTTTTTTTTCAGGTTTTAAATCAAGCATTCTAGCTGATTCTGAGGCTGCTGCTACACAAAAACCAACACGTACCAGTGCACGCAAATACACGAGGATGCATATTTTAACGTCTGTACAACTGTACACACAAAGATTATAACTTTACAGCACACTAGGGTGAAGGAAGGTAGCTTGCAACGGGTCACTGTTACTAAGAAATACAACTCATAATGCAACAACGCTGGCCTTATGTTCAAAAAGAAAACAACCACGTTACACAAAGCCGTACAGATTCTTTCTAGTTTGACGCTAGTTCTTACTGTTTGCGGATAGGAGAGTGGACGTAGTCTGTCATAGTCCTCTTGACCAGCTGTATCCCACAAACCCAGATTGACCGGTTTTCCATCAACCATTACATTAGCAGAGTAGTTGTCAAAACTAGAAAAAAAAGAGGGAGCTGCATTAGCCTACAGTAAAACAGGGCACCCGAGGACTTTTTCTTCTAACTAGGAACACTACAAAAGAAAACATTTTTATTGCACCCTTTTGCTCCCCAGAAACAGTAACGTTCTTTAAATACTGAGCCTGGTATTGCGCGATGGAAGGAGAAACATGCACAACAGAACTGGCCCAGTCTGAGCAGAAGTCATCGTTTTCCCTGCCCTTCTGAAGGAGCGTTAATCTCAGTAAGCACAGGAAAGCAGGAGATGCACTTAGTAAGCACTTTCCAGTCTTAGTGGGACATTCAGTAAGTTAAGCTGTCTCATTTTGCAAGACTTAGAAGAGACATGAGCAACAACCAAGGAATTCTTAATGACAACAGTAGGTAAGAAAAAAACCCATTAATCCTGCTAATCAAAAAACCCTCCAATGAAATATCAAAGTTAATAACCAGGGGCCAGTAGAGGTGTAATTATCTCATGACTACTGTAGGAGGAGAGGTTTTAATGATTTGTTAGGGCTAAACCAGGTTCACTGGGAACACCAGCATCCTGTAACCCAAAGATCTGACCAAAATAAAGGAAACAGGTAATTAAGACAACAAGGCCTTTAAAAGATAACTAATCTGTAAATCTCATTAGAATGTGTTTTGTTATCTGAAGAACTCATCAATACTTACAGAGCAAGATCACAAGATACATACAGACTCATCCGAAGAGCACAGAGAAGCCGCCTCTCCTCAACAGGCCTCTGAGAAGGGAGCTACACTAATACTGATACTGCCAACTCCTTACACGCAAGAAAATGGGAAGCACCAGAATAACCGAGTCCCCACAACCCCGCCTGAGGAGCTACAGAGCCAGAGCTGGCTTAGCACAGGATTGGCAGTAGCACAAAAAGCAGGAGGAACAAATGGAAAAAAGTATCTCTAGTCACATAAACCAATTATTGCTGATTACAATGTGTTTTACAAGCTGCTCAGGCCCTGGGACTTCTTATTATGAATGATATTAAAGACAGAAATAATACATTATTTTAAAAGAGAACAGCATCTGATAAAGTGTTAGTAGATGCCAGCCCCTAACAAGCGAGGCTGTAAGGCAGAGTGAGGCACAACTGATGGAGCACAAACAAGCACAGGTATTACTGTGCTAAACAGGAAAAGCTTAAAGTGCTTTTCCTTACCCACACCGAGACACTCAGTCAGACATTTAAGGTTAAACTGAGGGGTGCCTGCAGCAAATTCAAACAATTCAACTAAGCAGTATGGAACTGCACTATACGCAGAGCAGTTGACATAAATCAGCTCCTAGGATAAGTACTTACACAGTGGGTATATATTCTCCAGGAAATGCATTGGTTGTGTAACTGATGAGTAGGCATGTTTTACCTACAGCACTGTAAAAAGAGAAAGTTCACACGTAAGACACATCCTGAATAATGAGAAATAGCCTTCCTTTTAGGGAAGAAGGCTGATTACATCCAGTTATCTACAGAAAAATTGAGTGTCACTCAGGAAAGCTGCTCATAGAGTGTAGCCTTAATATTACTGGCAATGAAAATACACCTGATTACAAACATCCATTTTCTGAAGTGGTAAATTACTAATTTTTGTTAATCTTTTGACAAAAAAACACCACACCACAAGTATCAGTAAGACTAACAACATCTGCTAGTCACCTGGCTGAACACTACTTATCAAGACTGCTTTACTCCAACTCCCTGAAATTAAAAGAGAAGTATTTCCAGATACCCTTTACACAATTCCAAAACTGTTATCTCTTCCAGAAAATGGTATGCTTTCACACAAGCAAGATTTGACAGAGCTTGAAAGGTACAGTTTCTGAACACAGTTATTTTTAAGTATTTGAGGAACAAATATAAATGATAATCCTCACAATATTTATTGCTAAATGACTCCCCACATGCATTCATCAAATGCTTAAACATTTCATAAACCGATTTATAGATGAATTACAAGCCAGTATTGGAGAACTTAAATGGGGGCAGGACAAGATTCCATTCCAGGTTTCTTTCAAAACTCTGGCAGCCAGCTCCTCCCCATCTAGAGTCACACATTAGATTAGCACCACCATTGAATGTGTTAGTTTCAGTTAAAGGGTTGGAAAACTTGAAAATGGACCATATTTAAAATAGGCTCTACACAGAACGTTCCTGACACCACAGACTGGTTCCTGTGCTGGCTTCCCACCTGAAGTGCATAATCCTTTACCAGTGTGAGAGATTGCGGAGGTGAGCGTGCAACCAGTTCCTCCAAAGTGACAATGCCCAGACAGCCTGAGAGTCTTCCCATCGCTCTTCCCAGACAAACTCCCATACAAGGACAACTGCACTGTCTTGCAGATGCTTTTTCACTACAATGATGTGCTCAAAGTCAGCAGTTACTTTGAAACCTTACTGTACTTACATGTAAAATCATGCCATTAGTATTAGGTTTGACTCCTGAACTACATCTTTTACAAGCTGAAGGAACTCACTGAAGTTTTAGTCTAGAACTATAATTAATATTAAAGACAAAACAAACAAACCAAAACCACAAACCAAAACCAAACCAAGAACTAAGTGCTGTCACTAAAAATATCCTATTATACTTTAGCTTCTGCAGAGAAAAAAAATAATTAACAGACACAATCTTCAATCAAGGGCTTACCAGATCTCCAGCTGCAAACGTCTGGAGGCGTTCATATCTGAATTTTACTATGTCTCTTCCCCTTAAATCATTGCATTTCTCTTGGTTTGGAATCACATGGACTGTGCCTTCACTTACCAAACACTGTCTCCAAAACATTATTTAGAATTATTTAACCATCAACATTAACCAGCCAGCCTTATCTAACGACTCTCAATTTAAGGTACGTTAAATAAATTTGAGCTTCATCACAACCGTAAGTTGCCATGTAGGTTGTAGCTCAATCTCTAACAAGTCTTTCCATTAATTTGAGCAGTTCCATACTGCGTTAGCTCAAAGTTACCTGACAGCAACATGTGACAACATTACTTTAAACGCCTGACATATGAAAGAGCTGCTTTGGCATGCAAAATTATCTAGGATTTTATCCTACATGGCCATTTTCTAATTGTCATTTTATATTGCTACACTGACACCTACCTACCATAACATCCCATCTGCCGCAACTCTCTCTGGTCATATCATGCAGTTTTCTACACAAATTTTCACACCTGCTTCTAGGGAAACAAGATGCCAGTTCCTTGCACAGGCTGAGATTATTTTTTTTTTTTGCGTGCACTCTCTTTTACCAGGCTGTAACAACAACAAAAGGGGGCATTCAATCTTCTTCTGGCTAAGAACGTCTCCGCATTTCCCTGTAGTAACAGGGAAATGTACTCAAAATTAGGAAAGGTATTTACCCTTCAAAACCTTCCACGGGAAAGAATCGTGCAGCAGTATAACAACACGGCTAGCTAATTTAACAGCAAATCCCATCTTAACTCCTGCACTAGCACTCTTTGACTCTAACAAGCCAGAACAAGGGGTTCAAGAAAGCTGTCCACTTGTCTCCTCCATTAGGAGATCTTGTTAGTTTAGTTCCCTGAACTATCAGATAGTTTGAATATATTTTCGCCACTATAAAACAGGCTACAAAGAATGAACGTGAAAACCTTCAAAATACCAAAAGGAGCAAAAGCCAGCTCCTTTGGGAAACTTCTTGAGAGGCAGAGGCTACATGTTCTCACCTTCTAAAACCTGTTTGGTACAACGCTTCATTTTCCAGTAAGTTCATTACAGGTAATTTCAAGTTCCTAACAAACTGCTTTCAGTGGAGGATCTTTGCAGTCAGGCTCCTTTGCTCACCTCGCACTGAAACTGGTGAGTCTGCTCTGGCTAATCAAAAAGCGCAGGAAGGAGGTGGGGAGAGATTTCATTCCAAGCTTGTAAGTGCCCGTAGTGCGTTTCTGCAGCACCAATCAGCCAGAGTCATTTAAACAAGAACAAACACGTTCAACAACCCTGTTTCAGACTTGCTCCATCTAGGTTTCCTGCCTTCCTTGCCTTTTGGCTCACTGCCCTACGAATCAGATCGTTATGGTGACCAGTCTTAAAAATAAACACTAATGTCTACCTTTTATTTATAAAGTACAACCTCCAAGTACTTTATCAACTTTTTTAGACTTCAAACTTCTGTATTAAAGCAACTTCCCGAAAGAGAATTCCAACTGCTTGGCAAAATATGAATCCTTGTACATAAAGGTTGAGACTAAGAAACTAAAATAACACCAAACCAAGATTAGTCATAACAAAATTTCTAGCAACTACTTAATCATACCTCTGTCCACCCACTATTACATAAATGAAACTAGTAACATTTGACTGTAATTAAAATTAGGGCCTACAGAAATCCGGCATTTTAACCACTAAACAATAGGTGAAAGACTTAGAAAAGGCAGCGCTGAGGCTCTTAATGCTTCCAGGCACCATCCAGGAATCAATGTATTCATATAACGGCATATGTATTAATACCTCAAAACAAAACATGTCATCTCTTTCCTGGCCTTATTTACACTAACAAGTTTCATGAAGTTTTCCCACTGCATTAGAGCTGCCTGGATCCATGTTATGGGACAGGCATATGTTGGAGGACCTGCACCAGCATTTCTTCCCCTCAAGGCACTGGATCCGCACAGATGGTGCAGAGTCTCCTGCTGTTCTGCAACTAAAAACTGTCTGCGAGCAGTTAGTTCCCATTTGCACCCACAGGAACGGGGGCAGCTGAAGTGCTCACTGATTTAAGGCCAGGAACACCGATACGTGCAAACAGGTGGCAACCTTTATAAAAAGCTTTGGTTAGGTCCTTTCTTTCTCTGATCCACATGAACTACCTCCCTATGAGACATGATGCCCAACAGCCCAGGTCTTCACTCAAACATTAAAATCTAGCTTAGGCTTCTCTAGTACCATCCTCAGATCAAAAATTCAGTATTTTTGCTATAATAAGTTTAGTTACATGTAGCTCTGCCAGATAAGCTGGTCTTACTCACTATGACACCCTCTCCCGAATACACTGTTGAGTACCTCCAATATATTTCTTGAAAAGTTTAGTAACAGAAGTTACTAAATTTCAAGTCACTGCACTCTCTACAGATTGCACTGGAGGGACCTGCGGTGTTCCGCATCTTCCACAGACGCTGCACTACACTCAGTAAGAGGCCAACAGCCCTACCCTCCTTCTCGACAAGCTATCAAATCCAACACTGCCTCGCTCTAGCAGATGGGGCCTCCAACTAAGCAGAACTCCAAACAAGGACTCTTAATTCACTGCTCTTGTTCTTACAGCATTTCTACAATCAAAAAAATTCCTACAAAAGAGCACAAAGTGTGACCATTTCTGTGGCATCTAGTAATCATTTCTCCAAAATGCAAAACCTCCCCCAAGGTTGCACAACATCACTGGAGGTTTCATACCACTTAACAGCTGCCTTTTTAGAGTGAAAACAAAAGCTGCTAAAAATAACTTACACCAATGCTTTTTCTTAAGTGTCAACCACCAGCAATTCCTGCAGTTACTCAAATCGAGTGCTCTTCATCTGTCCTGCACGTTCCTACTGCTCTGCATCAAGAAGTCAAAGCAACAGTTGCCATTTACTTTTCCCCAAAGAATTCTCACAGCGAAGAAGAAAAAATAAGGGCAAAATATGACGGCACAACTAGCATACATGCCATGTTTTTCTAGTCAAATTAGTTGTCTAAACAGATGCTAGTCAAAGCTCTAAGAACAAACATGGTTATGTATGAGAAACAGTCTGCCTCATTTAGAAATTTTTTTTTTTAAATCACCACACAGGTACTTCTACAGCTTTTTTTTTTTTTAATTTTGTTCCCAGCAGATCTTTGTGGAGGGTACATAAAACAATACCTAAGTTTTATATTACAGAAGCAAATCTTTAACTTGCATTGTTTTACAGACACACTAAAGCTTTAGCCTTATCTAAGCCAAACATTACACATTTCCTAGAATATCTGTAATGGTTGAACCTTTGAAGCAGCTGCAGAGAAACAAAAATGGAGAATGATCTAAAACTACCAAAAATGTACCTGATAAATGTACCTAATAGTACCGGAATGGAATCTTAAGAGAGACTTGTTTCTAACTAAGGAGGAAGGAAAACAAATCAAACCACTGTATTTTGTTCACCCATACATACAACACTCAGAATTACGCTACTTCCAAGATAAAAGCAATAATCATGTTAGAAAGTGAGATGGAAGAGAACTGTTTTGTTGAAACTGAACATTACACAGTTTGTCTGTGCTTAGTTCTCAAATCTAGTGGAGGAAGCAGACAGCTTTTTTTCCCCACCCAAACGTGATGCATCACATTTATTTACAGCATTGTCACCAACAAAGTTCAGTTGAATGAAAAAAGATTATAGACTGGGAAAGCAAATTTGTTGGGTTTAAAATCACCATAACCAAAAGAACAGTCCACAGTCATCCTACCTGGCATCAAAGAACTACATTAATATGAAAAGTCTTTATTCGTCAAGATACCACTTTCATGTTCTTATTGCTCAAAATTATACACAGCAAGTCAAAATCAATTTGTGACAGAGAGTAAATTTATCTTTCAACGATGCTTAGCTGCCTTTTTTAGTGATTCTACATCTTAAAAAGCAAAACAAAAACAACAAAAACCCCAGACAAATAACTTGAATATTAAACCACCATGTGAAATTACAGACAGTGGCAAGATCATTTAGTCACACTTCACTCTTGTTATCTACAGGAGTTTGCTGTGATACCAATTATACTCAGTCTACACTGGCATTTTTGTTTCTCCTAAGGGGTGGGGGGGGAACAAACTTCTCCAGCTTTGTAAGAACGAGTCTTGTTTTCCAGCTGGCCTGTGATGTTCCCCTGAGCTCTGACATCCACTAAGAGACAAAATGCCTCCAAGCTGATGGGAACAGCATCACGAGAATATTCAAAAGTAGCAAACACACAAACTCTTCCCCTACCACAATTCCAGCATTCCTCGAACTGACATCCAACAGCCAGAGTTAACGTGACTCTAAAAAGAATCCTCAAGTTGTTTCACTTATCAGTAACACCGCATTAGAATGCTGTAGGTGCAACAGTTCTTCCCAGACAAGTATGTAGTTAATTATTTGTATTTCGAGTGCTCTACCAGTTTCCTTTAGACAGGGACCCTGCACGACTAGATGTATGCATGCAGGAAAAGCATCTCTGCTTACGAGCATTTACGATCTGTTTCGAGTTTAGCACATTTCAGTTTCACTGCAAGAATCAGATGCCAAATTCAAGCTATCAACAGTAAGAAGAAATGTTACTTTCACAATAGATAATTCAAATCAATATTAAATTTCTCATATCATTAAGAGCATGGCATTTTTTTTCAATACACTCTGATTACTTCGGTGCGCCTAGTGATAAAAGACACACCAGAAACAAGAGGCAGCTCCAGGGCGGGCCGGCAGAAGCGGCC